TCAGTCAGTCAGCTACAACGTAGGACCAGGCACATATATGTATCGGTCCAAGTTGCCACACCTCATTAGCACAACAAGATGAACACCGAATTCATAGAAGGGGTTAATTCAATGGTGGCAATACTTAAAGAACTGCATGTAAAGATATAGTACAGAAAGAAAGAATTAGTTCGTAGAAAGAAAGGTATAAGATAATTTTATTCTCACAGTTTAAGGAAAGACGAAGAGTGTATAAGCCTACGCCGTTGTGATCGATTCTGAGCCATGTCACAAAGAATCTCCAACCATTGATTACGATAGCTACGCGGACCCAAACCAATTAGTCTGCATCTACCAACATGGCTAAGACTAGAAATCAGTGATTTTATGGACGAATCCACGTTTTGGTTTGGCCGCCTCTAACTTTCTTCCAACCATGCCTAACACTAGTCAGCATTGTGTGTCGTGGTAATCGGTGTTCAAGCATACGTAACACGTGGCCCAACCACCTCAGTAGATGAAGATTTACAACCTCATCAACTGATTTACCGTCATTCCCTAATACTTTGCGTCTTACCTCACTACTACTTACTCAGTGTTCCCAGCAGATGCGAGCAATATTTCTAAGACATCTGTGATCGAATAGTCGTAACTAACGAGTACCCTTTATGGCGACGTTTTGTAGCCGCAAAGCAAAATAGAACGAACTACTGAGCAGTATACTCGTCCTTTCATTAATAGACGGGTATCTCGCCTTCGCCACAGATGACGTAAGTTGGCAAAAGCCAAGCGAGCTTTCTCAATCCGTGCAGAGATTTCGCCAGACACCAACTCAATAGGACCGATTAGACTTCCAAGATAATATAAGTAATATGAGTACTATGTCTGATCGTTTAGCTTTATGAAGCAGTTTAGAGATCTTTCTGTAAAAGTCATCCTTTAGTTTATCCGGGCTGCAGTCAATGGGAGCGTAGGCAGAAACGACGAAAAGGCAACGACGTGTGTCCACATCCTTCCGAGTTCTTACGGAGCCGTTTAGCCGAACGGCACATAAACAACTGTTAACGGGCATACACTCTAATGTTGTTTGGTCCGCCCTCATACTTAGTGATATGCCTACACCTGCCAGTCTACAAGAATCCACCATGGAGTCGTCAGATACACGGATAGTGTGTCTCGTCGGCTCTCCGTTTTGGCGAGGTGAGATCAAGTGAATGACCACACTAGGATCCTGTATGCGTGTTTCGGAGACACAGCATACATTAGTGGTACGAGATTCTAGGGTTTTAGTCAAGGAGGCCTGCTGACCGATTTGACACAGGGTGGGTACGTTGAAGGCTCGAATGTGTAGTTTGGAGCGAGGTTTCAGTAGACCTGGGACAGTGTTTCGCGCACTAGAACCGTTGGCTATGATGACACTTGAGGAGGAAGCCAAAAGAGTAAGTTTAGATTTGAAATTCGATGTAGGAGTAATGATAAGGATTGAAGAGGTTGATTATGAATACAGTTGTCTTGAATGCTGTTAGAAGAATGAGGGCGGTTATCAGTTCTTGGTAACCTACACCGTGGAGGGATTCTTTTGAAGGTACAGTCGGCAGTACGACTACCCTCGTACCTGGGGTTTGCTGCTCTTAGTCTTACCGCTGTTCAACCTATCTGTCTTCATATTTTATTCTCCCTTTCCGAGGACCGTTGTCAGAGATGAGAACATTAACTCTCCTTTCTGTTCTTTCAATATCTGCGCTTCGGCATATGTAAACTAGTGTACATAATTATGGCTAACATTAAGTGGTTATCTGTCTACCTTGAATGTTTCAGCGAGATAGTGATGAAATACAAGTGTGGTTGAGATCTTGTCTGTTTGAAATATGCTTATTTTAATGTTAACAAATATCCTTTATCAGCAATTCTAATTCCTACTTTTCTTACTGTCAGTCGGCAAACGTTTAGCTGATTCAGTTCAAGATGTCAATAGACTTAATAGTCCAATTACAAAAGCTTCTAAGTCAATTCAGTGCTCAATTGACAAACCAACTACAAATTCTGTTGAAATTCATTGTGATATTTTAAGCGTAATTAAAAATGATGATTTCTCATTTGTTCACGATGAGAACAGTAAATTAATTGCTCAAGTAAGTATTGAACGCCGATTACCACGATGCAATGTATAGTGTTATGCATGGTTGGAAGAAATTTAGGGGCATCCATCCAAGTATATAGAAATTGATTAATGCTGTAAAAAGGGAATAGAGTCTAAATGGATTGAAAATCAAACAGTCTGTTGCAGGAATTTAGGAACAGGAAGTAAAGAGAAAGTATGGAGAGGTAGCAGTATGTATCAAACTGTTCGTAGAATATTACGTAAACAGATCGACACTAGACTATCTGAGTGGAATGGCACATAATGTGAATCTGCACATCTAAAATGGTAAACTGTGTTACGAAAATTTTATAATGTACGTAACATTTACAACTACACTAAACTGATGTTACTCCCTTTTAATGCTATCATTTGATGTATTATATTCAGTTAGTTAACTTATTGTCGGGATTATTTTATTGTCTTAATAAATCGCCCTCTTAGACTGATGAGTTATTAACATGCTGGGAAGTTGATGTCCGAATCTTGAATGTCTATGTCGCTTACGTTTCAATGCCTACATATATGTGCCTGGTCCTATGTTGTAACTGACTGTTACTCGTGTGGTATATGCCACTGACCACGATGTGGATATATTTTGTTTGTTGTTGTCGTTATATTGTCGTTTGTATAGTAAGCGTGGTGACCTGCATGAGAACCTGAAATGAAGAATGCATATTTGTAAACCCACAGTGGATATGAACTGCTTTGTCTCTTTAAAACTTTATGTCTTATATCTTACTTTGGCACATATGAATGAAAATATTTCTTCTGACAGTCTTAAATTACTAGTTGGATCAATCACTATTCATATATTATCCCGCATAAAAACCTATAATAATTTACTAATCTATTTAAAATATAAGCTTTTCAAGTTTTCAGATACTGCCACCTTGATATTTTTGTGAAAATAATTCTGAATGGAGTTTGATTTACCTTCCTGCCAGTCGGTATATAATGAAATACATATTACAATCGGGCTTTTTGTTCTGATTTAATGTTACTTGAAGATTTGGCTTGTTACAAACTTCAAACAAAGAAATTACTTACTTACGCTTGTTACTCCTCATGTAGCGTGTGCCACTGACCAGGATTATTTTAACTATTGTGTTCCGGGCTCTCCTTTCCAATTGTTCTCCAGTGCTATTCATTCTTTTGATGCCTGCTCCCAATTCTCTGAGCTATGCGTTATTTGGTCTGCCTCTCTTTCTTTTGCCTTGAGGATTCCATGTTAGGGTTTGCTTTGTGACGCGGCTCGATGATATCCGAAGAGTGTTACTTATCCACCCCAATACGTTTTCCTTACCCTCTTTCCATCTGAAGGTTGGTTTGTTCTCTACCACAGTAGGTTGTTGCTGATGCTATCTGGCCAGTGTATCTAGAGTATCTTGTGTAGACAGTTGTTTTTAAAAATCTGTACTTTTATGATGGTTATTGTGGTAGTCCTCCAAGTTTCACCTCTGTAATGTTGTACTATCCACAGTGACGGATATTTCGGATTCTGTGTTTCTTTTTATCTTCACGTCTTTAGTATGTAGGATTCCTTTTTTATTTAGAAGGACCACCTAGTTCATTTGGACCGTCTAGTTTCTTCCTCTGTTGTTATAATTATTACGGTTTCTTGTCCTCAATATCATAAGTTGTCTGCAGCTGCTATAGTCTTTTTCTTCGGTGGCCGATGTGCGTTGTGTCGCTCTTGCTTCCGGTTTATCCTATGGCTCGAGTTCTGCCACTTGGTCGATTTATTACCCAACTTCTGTGGCAATTTCGATAGGCAGAGCACCGCTACATATGCCTAGTTTGTTTCTTGTGAACGAATTCCGTGATGTATAAACAGGATTTCTACTTTGGTAGATTAGATACTTGGGTTATTTGCCCTATACCCTGGAAGTCTGAATTCAGATATGACATCATCTGTGGTCACCATGTATCCGGATATTTGAGGTAATGCGGTTAGAGCATTTAAGAGAGGACCATCGACGTCACTATGATTACTAGGGTTATACATTTCATGATAAAATAACCAACGGACCTTAGACTCGCTAGATAACTGTGGTGGACCAAGAATATATCAATTCGAAAAATAATGTTGAAGTTATTACGTCCAAAACGTAAAGTAATAATACATTAAACGTAATCTATAAACATAAGGAAAATATACAGGACGTCACATAAATTGTCAGAAATTGGCGCCTTCGGGTGTTCTTTTTGTGTAGTAATCCGCAAATATAAGTGGTTAATAGCTCCAATCACAATTGTTATATTTCGACGTGCATATCGAGATAAAGCATATAATGCGAATATTAATGTGATTTGTACACGTAAATAGCAAACACATTAGAGTTCTTTTATCATAACAACAGGTAATTTAGAATAAGAGGCATACGCAAGTAACAATGTATTTGTGAGTGATAATCAGAGCCAAGCTTTTATACCCGTATCTGTTTCAAATCACAGGTCGTGCCTCCAAATAACCAGGAAAGCCCAACTACTACACAGATGGAGATCTAAAGGAACAAACACTTCGATATTTCAGCTGAGCGAAACTTGGCATTTGAATTATTGTGTGATAGTTTTACGCTATTACATAATTGAGCATTTCAACAATACGCGCAAATATTTGAGTCGTTTTGGCAGACAGGTTAAGCTATCTATAAATTTATCTGAGTAGTTCGAATATATTCAAAATTGTCTTAATATGTGGCTTGTGTTGTTAGTGATTGTTGCCTATTGCTTTCCGTAGTGAATGTAAGGTTATTGTGTGGGCTTCTGGGTCACAGTCTTATGTTTTCTATTCTGTTTTCCAGACTTCACGCCATTTTGCATGCTCAACTACACAAAGTACTTTCTGACTTGACACGAACCGCTACAGTTGTATGCCATGGAACCTCCACATATGCTTATCCCAAGCCCAATATTTCATAAAAGAAACAGAACCAAGTCCCAATCAGAAGGTGCCTCTAAAGGAGAGCATGGAATTGGAAAAATAATTCGCTTTTGTCGTGATAAAGGACATGGTTTTATCAAACCTGATAACAGTGATGATTGCCTTTTCGTGCATGTTTTTGAGTAAGTTTGCCATACATAACAAGCTTTCAAGTATCGACGGTGAATACGTGCCTATCGAAGGAGACGTTGTGGAATATCGTAAGATGCTCATCCCTCCGAAGAATGAGAAGTACCAAGCAGTTCACGTTAGAATAGTCAACCTTAGTTCAGAAAAGCATAAAACCTGGGATGAGCCAGCCTAGTTCTACTTTTAATCCAAATAACTGACATCTTGGTTGGTATTTTCAAAAACCGGATATATATATATATATATATAATTAATATTGTAAATAGTTCAACCACCAATTTTCATCAAAATTTAGTTTTTTTTCAAGCGTAGAATGTATAAGGTGTAGAGATTCAGAATGTATTGCGTGAGATGTAAGTTTATTTCTGTCAGTGTGGTTCGAACCACCCCGGAAACTGCACACTTGCATATGTTACTCTCATTAAAGTTAGAAAACCGAAGGATTCCCGAACCTCTGTTTGATGTGTCAAAGACATGCAGGTAGCCTATCGGCAGAAAGTGGAAATAAGTTCTTCACGCTTTTCGTGAAAATCAGTACCTACCATAGTTATGCAAAGTTATGTATGGCGCATGTTATCTAATCTGTGTTACCTTACATTATGTCAAAGTCTGGTCAATAGTAACGTAGAGTGACACTGCATGTTCATCCCGAACTTGCCTAGACGTTCTGGAAAAGTGGTCTAAATTGAGGTCAATACTTATGGTTGTGTAAAATTCATGACAGAATTGTCAGTCCTCTTAATCGAGCAGGGGTATAGCCGATTATTAAGATAATGAACCATATACATGTGACTGCGACTTGCTAACGTGCTGTTGCAACTAGAGACGTTCTGATCCTCATGAGCGTTTAGTCGAGCATTTACCGACCTGGATACAATCATATGTACAGGCCTATTGAGATTTAAACTAGAAACCAAGCCGCCAGCTCCCGTTTAAAATTACACACCTTTGAAAATGGGCGGATAACTGTTTCCCCCATACATAATGTGACTTGAGAAGTTTTACCTCTTTACTCTCTTACGCCAGATTAAGTAGTTAAATAACTTCAATAAATTGTGTATTTGGAAGTAATTTGGTCGTATGTCTCTTCCATCTAGGTCGGGATGACTTATAAAAAGCGAGTTTGAAAATGAAAAGCGAAGGCGGAACCTGTGTCGTGTAGGTCTTCTCATCAAGTAATCACCTGAGCACCTAGTATCCGCGTCTTACAATTGGCTCAGAAGGGGATTCGACACCAAAGATCACTGGGGAAGTCTGTCGGCTATGGTCCTCAATAAACAATTGTCAATATTCCTGGGGCGAGAAATGACGTACTGATTATTAATCAAAGTGTGCATCTGGATAGTGAGTAGTTTCTGAATATAGTTAAGTATTGTTCTTGCTACGTTGTTTATCGCTTGAAGATGGTTTTTAATCTCAGTTCTACGTCATTTAGTTAGAATCCGTTCATGGAAATGGGCCTCATTTCCACCAATGAATGTGGATGTTTGCTAAAAGTCAGTCTTCTGTCAAGTATATATTAGGATTCTAAGGGGAAGATTTCCCTTTTGGTGGGAATTTCAAGAATTGCCCACACTCGTACTGAGTAGCTGTGCGCCAATCGTTTAGACGCTTGAATTTAAACCAGCCACACTTCGGTTTCCCACGATCTCTAGTCAACCTGGATGGCAAGTTAATGTAAGTCCTCCGTCCCTTTACGAAGTTGAAAAAGCCATAGGAATCTGAAATGAGGGAGAGCAGCAGGACCTGACAGGTTTACTCCTGAGATTTTTAAGGATGGTGGTCCAGTATTAGCAATGAGATTAACCGAGGTCTTGGGTAGAATTTGGGAACTGGACGTAATCCCATCTGACTGGTCTCAATCATTGATTGCACCAGTCTATAAGAAAGGACAAAAGTCCTCTTGTGACAACCACAGAGGAATCACCTTGACTAATATAGTGTCTAAAATATTAGCCTCAATAATACTTCGACGCCTAATCAAAGCTCGTGAAGAGCAGATTAGAAAAAACCAGGCCGGTTTTCGACCTGGACGTGGTTGTATAGATCAGATATTCACACTACGTCAGGTTCTAGAACACAGACACACATTCAGACGCCCCATAATAGTAGTATTTCTTGACTTTAAGGCAATATTCGACTCTGTTGATCGTAAGGTTCTATGGCAGTGTTTGCCACTTAAAAGGAGTACCAAAGAAGTACATAAACCTTATTCAGGCTCTCTACCTGAACACAACTGGTAGAGTGAGAGCTTATGGCGAACTGTCATCAGAATTGATTACCTCAAGTGGTGTTCTTTAGGGCTGTCCACTCTCACCATTCTTGTTCAACCTTGTCATTGACGTAGTTTTAGGGATAAAACTTTCCTCGTCTAGATTTCCAGGGGTTGAACTTCTACCGGGAGGTTCACTTGTTGACTTAGAATATGCTGATGACATAGTTTTATTTGGTGAAGACTCTGACAAAATGCAGAGTCTTCTGACCACTCTAAGCAACAATACAAGCATGTTCGGGATGCGATTTTCCCTCCTATCGAAATGCAAAATGTTGCTTCAGGATTGGGTTGCATCGACACCCGAACTAATGATAGGGAGTGAAGTAGTTGAGCGTGTCGACCGCTTCACTTATCTTGGAAGTCTCATCAACCCTTGTGGTCTGGTGTGTGACGAAATCTCAGCACGGATACAGAAGGCTCGACTAGCTTTTGCCAACTTGCTTCATTTATGGCGTAGGCGAGATATTCGTCTATCAACCAAAGGACGTGTTTACTGCGCAGCAGTACGTCCCGTCCTACCTTATGGCAGTGAAACATGGCCGGTAAGAGTAGAGGATATTCGTAGGTTACTAGTATTCGATCATAGGTGTCTTCGAAACATTGCTCGTATATCCTGGGACCATCGAGTAAGTAACACAGTTGTTAGGAAACGGGTACTAGGTAAGGATGGCAAATCAATTGATGACGTAGTGAGATGGCTGGGACACGTGTTACGTATGCCCAACGACCGACTGCCTCGATGTGCGATGTTCAGTGGTATAGGAGTAGGTTGGAAGAAAGTTAGGGGCGGCCAGACCAAAACATGGCACAAGTCCATGAAGTCACTGACAAGTGGTCTGAGTCATGTCGGTAGGTGTAGACTACCTGGTTGGGGACCGCGAGATGATAGCAACCGATGGTTAGAGACCTTGAATGACATGGCTCGAAATTGTTTGCAATGGCGCAGGTGCATCCACTTTTTGTATTCTCCCAAATTCTGAATACTTCATGTCCCTTTTTTCCTCTTCCCAAATTTATTTCACTGAATTATACTCTTTAAATAACATCTCCAAACCCTAATCTTCCTGATCACTGCTTACACTCTTGCTACCTGTACCACTACGGGATTTGGATCGACAACTGCATCTCTGTGTTAAGATGGTGTGGCAACTCGAACTGATGTACGTACGTACGAAGTTCTACGTTGTTACTGACTGACTTGAATCTAAACCGTTTGGTTCTAGGCTCATGACTCAACTACTTTTCCCACAGACTGAACACTTGCAGTCAAAAGAAAAGTCTAGTTTGAATTTGGTCATAAGAGCCACCTGGTTCCTAATGTAAATTCAACTAGATACAGATGCGTGGAAATAACTATTATCGCAAGGGTCGAATGCTGATCTTTGTTAAACAGTTGGATAAATGTTTATGCCTCTGGAACTTCTACTATATACAACAAGAGACACATTAGGGTCCCAAAATTTTTTAATAAGGAATAGAGGATTCGCATTATTGCGAGAGGCATATGATTGAATGGGCTATAACAACTGCAGAATATGTCCTCAAGCAATTTGCTTAGGAATTATAAGATATTGATATAAGAACTGTAGGAGTGAAAAATGAGATGAACAAGCTTTATGGTGCACAATGATGATAACCGCTATCATTATGTACTTCAATAATTTGCTAACCTGCTGTTTGTTGATGTCAATAAACGTTATCATTGAGGACGATTTAAAATTCGATCAAACATCAAGAGCCTTAAGCAAGCAAATACTTTTCGTGTGAGACTTCGCCAGTTCTGAAGAAAATACATGGCACAGTCAGTCAAATGCACCGATTAACCTAGCACATATGCAGTGGTTCGAGTTGCCATGCCACGTTAAGACAGCGAGAGGAAATTAGCAAGTCAAATTAGTAATATCGGTTATACAGAAAAGGTCAAGATTTAGTGACTTGGGTTCTAAGGGTTGACGAGGTTGATCAGTGTAATCCTTGACGCGTAATCTCTACTTGCCTACGCAGCTCGCTCCAGTTGTCAATGATTTAAAGAGTTGACAACACATCTTGTTTTGGTCGCTTCTAGCCTATACCACTCGACAGTGTTACTCGGAAAAGCGGGCGTTGGTTTGGCATAGGCAATACATGTTCCGACCATAGTAGTTGGTGACGGTTCGCCGCCTCACCCATCAATTAGTTGTCTTCACTCAGCACCTTAACCCCGACAGTGATTGTTCCTTGGTCCCCCAAGAATGCTGGTGACCTACGTATGTTTGCTATTCTTAATGATCATGGTTCACAGCCATGAGGTAAGGAAGCAAACGGCTGCTGAACAAACATCTATTCGTCTATGCTGAAGGTGACGTAAGTTGGCAGCTAACTAAGCTTACTGAATTCGCGCTAAGATTTCGTTAAACACCAATCCATCAGGGATGGTAAAATTTTCAGGATAATTATACAATCCGTGGTGATTTTAAACATATCGTCTGATGAATGTTTAAACCAGTCAGTTATGCAAGCCACTGCTAACAACCGCAGACCTAAATTTAGTCATACAGTGTATGAGCTACCGGTCCATTGGAAACTCAGCGTCTGAAGGATTTGGTGGGCGATAGACAAATCATTTCGTAATACGGCGTTATTCACTGTTATTTCTCTTGCTACAGTTCAGTAATAATTACGCGACAAACAATTCTGAGGTTACGCGTGTAAATTAAAATGACTGGAAATATGCTACTAAGAAATAAAGCATTTTTGATAGCAGATATACCCCACCAGAACTTTAGTAGTCAAGTCTAAGGTAAATGTTTTAGATTAATGAAGTTTTATTAACATTGGAATCATGAACCGATCTAAGGTAGACCATCACTAAAAACCTGGAAGCACTAGACATCCGTCTCGTCCCAATTCGCGACTTCACAGTAGTACGGACACACGTGGGGCTCGGACCCTGGACCTTCAATCTTTTGCGCGAACATCAGACCGCTTAGCCGGCATCTTATGGCATTAACGTCTAACCTTGTCAATCTTAGTCGAAATTCCTGCGCTACCAGGGAAATGTTGAAGGTGTTTGTCCAGGTGGACTTCGTTTTATGATGTATCTATAAGTCTCTTCATTTTATGCATGAGCGTAGTATCATGACTAACACTTCAGTGTATACAAATTTTCCTTTTAAGCGCTAATTAAATGTCAATTTCACATCCATATCTGTTTTGACGATTAGCGGAGTTGATGCATGCTACGTCCTGTTTGACAAGTATATGTGCATAGGTAGACAGATATTCAACTGAAACTTAGTTTGATTAGAAAAGACACTGTTGTCAGTTTATTTACCACCGCCATACAAACATCAGTCTAGTCTTTCGAAAAGATAGAGTGATCAGTATTGGGTCTGAACAATGATCTAGCTTAACTGTAATAGAAAACTTTTAGAAAGTGGGACAAAGACCCCAAAATCGGCAGACTGGGTAGTTTTCTTGAATAGCTCACAGCTCGTAACCGTGGTTGTGTTTTCTCCTGCACCTGTCCAGATGCTTCGTTGTTTACGGCAAATGTGTCGAAGTGGTCACACAGACAGCTAGATATGTTACCGAAACCCAGAAGCCTAAAGCGTGAAGCCACGATGGGGAAGTTATCTTTTTGACAACATATTGTCGATCTACGCACCATTTCCCTCTGAAATCGACTTCATAATGAAGAGTTACTATTCAGGTTTCGGTAGAACCTAACACTGGTTGCTATTACATAAGCTAATATGTCGAGATTACTTTTGATATCGTGGGGAACTGTCTGCACTGATTGTCAGGCATATGATAATATGATCGATAATACTAGTTCAAACTTGATTTGAATGCTCCTATATTCAGTCAGTCAGCTACAACGTAGGGTCAGGCACATATGTGCGTCGGTCCGAGTTGCCATACCTCATTAACACAACAAGATGAACACCGGATTCGTAGAAGTAGTTAATTCAGGGGTAGTAATATATAAAAGAAGCATTGCATATAAGGACATAGTACAGGAAGAAAGAATTAGCTCGTAGAAAGAAAGATATGAAGCGATTTTTATCTCATAATTTAAAGAAAGACAGATAGTGTATAATCCGACGCCATTGTGGTCGACTTTGAACCATATCACCCATCCAATATTCATGCTACTATGTAGCATTCACACAGAAAATTGCTATTCTAAATTCCTGGTCCGAGGTATCACTAACTCTTATAGAGAAAGATGATATTCTATATCAACAAAATAGTAACAAAAAGAATAATTAGATGTGGTTTCTCTCAGCTCAGTCTTTCAAGTTACTTAGTTGGATAACGTGGCAGTATGGAGTAAATATACAAATACGTAGACAGTATTGGCAGATCCATAAAATTCTATTTTAGTCAAATAAAAAAGATATCTATGAAGTTGTATACCCACGGTTTTATCAGTTTATTCTGATGGTCAATTATGTATATGTTTTTAAATTACAGGGTTCAATCTGAGTGACTCCCGAACATTGTTAATCCGCTGATCCAGAAGAGCTAAGTTGTCTTGAAATTCCATTTCGTCAATCACTTGAAGTGGGGAAATACTGGAGGTTACACTAGAAGATAAGGAATATTTATCATCAAGCTCTATGATTTCTTGGTGATTAACTAATTTTTGGATCTACAAAATATATAAAAAGGCATTTGTGTAAAATATAGGTGTAATGAGCTGTGTAGTTCTAAGTTTAGTTAGAAATTATGTATAGACAATAATTTTTCCGTATTTTATATTCAAGATCAATAAAAATGACAGTTTTAGATTTCAATGGTAAGGCTTTTTACAATTATCAGTGTTACACCTCATGATTTGACTCGTTGTATTTGGTTTGAATTATAAATAAGTTAGTGTCTGTGTGTAGTTGGTAGTATAGCGTTTGTCGAAAATTCGTTTACTAATCACTCCTCTAAACGGGACTTTTTCTTGCACCTTTGGTAAACTTGTTTCGAAATCTCATTTGAGACGGGGTATTATGCACAGTAACTTTAAACGACAATTAGACTTAATAATCGACGTTAGTGCTATGATCATTTTATTAATGGTTCTTTCGTTGACAATTCTTTGAAAAATTATTTCGGACTTTTTAAAAAGCAAAAACTATGTGAAAAATTTAACGTTGCTATTCATGAAGAACTAAATTAAAATGTTTCATTAAGACACAAATGTATTTTTTATGGTATAATCTGAATGAAAACAAAAGGAACATATATTATTCTTTCATTAGAATTGAAAATTGCCACAAATTATTGAATTCCTAGTTCTTGTAATCTGAATTCATGATGAATGAACCCCAAAATATAAATTTTATACCTAAGCAAATAACCCCACTGGCAATAAAAGCCACCGATGAATTGAGTTAGAAAAGTTCACTTACTCAGACAAGTAAAGATGCGCATAATGGAAAAAATCTCAGTCTACAAAATTTAACTAATAGTTGACTTAACATATGTAGAAATGAAGGACACACTGAGCCATATAAATACACAGGAACTAGCATAGACAAATATTAATAAAGTATGCTCAAGTTTACATATAAGCAATTGTCAAGGGCAAAATATGAGTGACAGCGTGTATATATCTTCTTTCCAAAATTAGTACGAATATGGGAATCTTTTTTAGGAACACATCGTGCAGCATCTTAATGTATATTTGGGGTATGTGTTGGTAAGATATTGGACAGTATTGTAATGAGCGTCCGACTCCTAGTTCAAATAGATTCTGTTGTATTTCAATTACAGTAATTTGCCAAAGCCAACTCAGCTTCAGAAAACGAAAGTTTGAACAAATTCAATTATGGTCTGAGGATTTTGAGTTTTTAGTTACGGACCAATTTTGTTAACATAGAACACTTCTTAAAATACTTTCCAATCTCAGTAATAAACACATTTTATTATGACAGATTTAACTTCATGAAATATTCCTGTTCTATGAGTATATCAGAGTTGCAAATGTTTGTCGGTAAATCCACTTTCCGACAATGTATTATTAATGTTGTTAGTGATCACTGTGATGACTAGTTCGTTAACTAACGTCAGTCAATTAATTATCTGACGATATATATATATATATATATATATATATATATATATATATATATATATATATATATATATATATATATATATATATATATATATATATATATATATATATATATATAATGCAAATTAATGTAATAAAGGAAACAATGAGAACATTTACGTCGTTTGAACTTGAAGCCGTTGAATTCACCGAAATACGATCACCTTCATTTAAATTGTCAAAACTGGTTGTATTTTGTAATTGGTTCGTGCCGCAACTGTTAGTAATAAATATGAAGATTTTAGTCGAATAATTTTTAAAAAAAATTGCTGTTTCGTGTGAAGTAAAATCATTCGAAAATTTAAAATAAAAGAGGAAAGACTGAACGCCTTCATATTAGAATAGGACATTCATTTCTTCTAGCTGAACCACTTTAAATCAGGGGTGGGCAAAATACAAAAGCGATTAGAATTATGCGTCAAAGCAGCTAGAAGGGAGATAACTAAAAATCATGTCAGGAAAACCTGGTATATTTATACTAAAGTAATAGAAAATGGTTTGTGTGCTTTTTAAACTTCCGTTGCATTATTTATATGAAAAGTTTGTGCCCATCAATTATATACGTGATAAACGTTATTGTTATGTCATGCGGCGTCCAAGCGTGATACTGATTCACGAAATTCTTTTATACAAACCCTCAACAAGTTGCTGAGTGAGAAAACTAAAAGTAAATGAGGGAGTTTATTGGAGTAAACCAAATTAAACACATAAGGACTCATTTATATAAACATATCAACTCCTCAGTGAATCCGATTCTTGACCAACAACATGCGCTTGTCATTATGAGATATTTGAATGGTACAACGCAGCCTTCTCATCCAGCGAATTTTGATTAGCCCATTGGCTGAAGGTGTTGGAATGGATGCACATAAATTACTAATTTTATTGCCTATTCTTTTATTTTGAATGTTCATATGAAGGTTATATGACTGATTTCGACTAATTTTTAATTTATCGTCTATAGTATTCTGCACGATTGATTGTTATGCGTCAGAGGTGGTAAAACTAAGGCATGAAGACCGCAAATCTTTTTTGAAGTCATTTGGAATTATGCGTAGAAATGGTCAGAAGTGAAATCGTATTAAAGAAACATGGTACTTATACTAAAGTTTCAGGAAATAGTGTTTAAAATTAAACTTGAGGAATTTAAGTATAGTCAGTTCTTAACATTAAACACACAAGTGGTTTCATTGGAAACTGATCAGGAATATGATCGCCAGATTTCAGCGCTCAATTATAAATTTCCACGATGTTTTAAGGATTTCAAAACACGTGAATCACAGTATAATTTACTGGATATTTCATTTGCTGCTGATATTAATGGAGTTAATTGTGATCTTCAGTTTGAGTTAATAGAGCTACAGGGTGATAGGGGCCTGAATGGACGTTACGAATGTGCAAAATTGACTAAATTATATACGTAAAGTTAACAGAGGTTAAATTTTACAACCTGAAAATTTTTTCACGTGAAATGTTCTCTCTTTAGGTTGATTTATATTTGTGAGCCGGCGTTTTTATGTATAAATTTAAATAAGTCAATATTTTAGAACTGGGAAGGATAGCTCAGGACAGAGTTGGATGGAGAGTGCTGGCGGCCTATGCTCCTTCACGAGGGGTAAAAGACGTAACTAAGTAAGTCAATATTTAGATGTTCCTGTTTCATCTGATGATGGTCTGTTAGAAATAGTGAATATGCAACTACTGGGAATGTAAATAGCGATAATTTATCATTTAGAATATTTTATGTTCGTATTTTCTTTCCACTTTGTAAATCGTAGAGCATAAAGTGGTCAATGAGTTAAAGATGTCAGCCTATTTTCGGTAAAACAAAGAATATTGAAAGACCAACCTTCAGTAATAGTTATTGGTGGTGGGGAGTAAAGTTTTATATGCTGGATATAGTCAACCTGAAAGTGCATGTTATTTTCAACAAAATATGTGGTCAGATAGATAAGAATGCTTAACGCCACAGTTCCGATTAAGACGCCTTCTCTGGAGCGGTTGAGTGAAACTATCTATGACCTACATAGTTCTTTAAAACTTCATTTGACAAACATTTTTTAAATCACCGGTGAGAAAAATATTTCAAAGCCGAATTTTGTTCTGATGTGGTATAGAATGATTGTGAGACTTAAGAATTAATTGAGAATATTACTTTATGAATGACTTTATTTTCCAATACTATATTGTTTAACCTAGACTATTTTCAGTACCCTTTACGTGATGATATGTGTTTTTTTGTGAAAAAAAAATTACCATAAATATTGTCAAATTCTGACAGAAATTCATACGAAGTTCAGATAGATGATGTCCAGAAAGTTAAGCAAAACTTTATGGCTAAATGATCCAGCTCTGGAAATGAAACTTCACCCAAAACACTACGAAACAGTGAGCCAACGGGCTTTCAATAACCGGGATCTAAATCTGCCATTCCTTATTTGCACGTGTGAACAAAAATTCTGCAAGTTTCAGTTAAATTTAAGGAAATTTGTTTTTACTTAGCAAAAAGACTATCTTTTACACCATAACATGTGTTTGCTAGTCAAAATAGTAGATACTGTCTATCTTGTTTTGTGAATTTATGGTGCACAATGTTAAGGCTTGAATACCAAAAATTAGTTTTGGACGATATAGCGATTAATGTATATATCTGGCAAGAAGATACTGAACTAAAATTTAGCAAAAACTTGTAGCAGAACAGTATACTATGTAACCAATTGTCAATACAATTACTGTGTCTATTGATCGAAAGCAAATTAAAGAATAATTCATAGGTGGTGTATACTGGGAAACGTGCTGAACATTTGATCAAGATGGCTAAGCTTACCGGTTGTAGTTGTGAACACGTTTGTTCGTTTGACATGGTTGATTAGTTAGACGCTGAAGAACCTTTGGTGTCAGACATTCATGAGGATCTCGATATTCACTACTGAGAGAAAGAAGTTTGCTTAAGGTAGGAAAAGTAGCTGATAAATCTGGTGTTGATCTAATTGAATCAATATTTTTTAGATACCGTTTGCAATGCGTTCGCTCTGTTGGAAAATTGTCAGATCGTTCTTGTGAAAAATGCTCTGAGTTACGTGGATTCGGAATTATGTTTGAATAACACTGTTCCAACATAAAAATGCGTTCTTTCAAAAGTTTTATATATTCGCGGGAAATTTCAAGATTTTTTGATACTTGTTCTTTAGCAATGACAACAACAGAGATCTTTCTATGAAACCGGTCCTTTTCTAGCTAAAATGTTGTTTAAAGATATTCATCAGATGAATAGCTTTTGATTAGAAATCACAGTGAAAATGGAGCAATAGAAAACTTTTAATATCTAGAGGTAAAAAACAGCAGGATAATAAAGAAAAAAAGTAACTCAGTAAACTTATCCAAATCAAACAATCATTGTCTTACCTTCTAGACACCATCACATTCATTTTATATTCATGAGAAATACAATCGACACTACTTCATTGATTCTTACCATGGGATCTACAAATGCTCATAGTAAGTTAATTAGCGGTCAGATCAAGTATAGATAGATTTGATTATCTTAATCAAATCATCCTATGGATTATTACACTTTGTCCTCATGCCAGTAAAGATAAATAAATGATTGATGTAAGTACAAAAGTAACAGATACTTGTATTGTATTGGTGCCTGTGTGATCGGGCAATAATTATGAGAGGAATTGTATTGTCTATTTGGATTACTGATTAGCGAACCTAAATTACCTGTATAAGACTGAGGACTTGTTTGTCAAAGACAAAATTATCTTTTTTGACCAATAACTCTGTGACAATGAAATAACATCCAGGATCAATACTTAAAACCTTTTTCACGATGCACCCTCATATTTTTTTTGTCCAATATAAAGAATAGAACAAGAATACAGCAGGTAGAGACTTCTATCGTACTGTTTTGTTCAGAACTTAAAGTCGTGTGATAATCTAGGTTAACTGAGTGACAACAGAGCAAATAAACAGGATAGTGAAACGCAAACATGACTACACGATAAGCGGTGGAGAGCTGAATAATAAGTGAGTAGTGAATTGACAGTAACTTAATGGAATTAGAAAATAACAGAGGTTTATGTACTTAAAGAAAACCTAAGGATAGGAGAATATTAAAGTACAAGAATTCAAGTGACTAATAATTTTACAACTGCAATATAAAAAACAACTTTACGTAAAATAGTTCAAAATATCACAATATTCACCCCATTATATCATTATTGAAAACACAGGAAACATGAAAAAGATATTCCATCCATAGACAGACATAAATTATTCATTATTTCTGACCATCATCGGTAATTCTGAAGAAGATACAGAAGCTGGTACCTTAATATAGTGGTCTAGGTTACCTCTTATAGTGACCTAACCAAACTTTAATAGCTGAAATACCTCATTTGTTAGGTCCTATCATATCAGGCAGATTTATTGGAGAGAAGTAAAACTAAAAACACCAGCTTAAGATTCGACGGCTTAGTCATAGCGTCATTTGTATAGTGGTGTGAAGGGAATAAGGTGTATTCCTTAGATTTGTTTTCTCACAACGGAGAAAAAGGGTCAAAATAGGTCCGTACTAAAGGCAGTAAATCTCACTTTTGTCCTCAGATTTCCGCTTCCAGCTGTAAAGCGCTAAAAGTAAGGGTAACCCCTTACTTCATTCAAAACTACTCGGAAAAAGGTCGTGTGTAACTGGCCTTAACCAGTTGTCTTTTGACGTCGTGGACACGCTCTCAGGTGATCAAGAACATTCTTTTCATAGTATAGACAACGGAGAAGCCACAACAACCAATATATCTCTGACAGCCCATGAGATTACCTAACTATAAAGTATAACTGCTCATATTATTATCTTGAAAAATAAGTTAAGTATCTAAGTATATTTTATAATAAATAAAACGTTATTTAGAAAAAGCTACATTTGATCCACCAGTTTGGGAGATAAGGATGTAACGATTGTAAAACTAGAAAATGTTTAGTTAGTTCTGCAGTTTTCTAATGAAACCTTTAAGTGTATTTAAGTGCTTGACTCCCGAACAAATTCGTGTTTGATGATAAACTCCATTTTCACAGACTACGCTTTTGCTGTTTTATATATATGTATATTTAATTATTTACATTGTAAAATCAACAATCTGTAGTCTCACATAACGGTAGTTATGAGAATTATTCATATCTTAAATAAATCTAAATAAATTGTCACTGTTCAGATGTATAGTTGTTTAGTATAAAATCACTTAAAACATTAATTTAATCGGTTTTAATCTGTTTGTGTTGCCATATCTGTGAAATGTTTCTTTCAGAAATATGCGCGACGATCTAAATGGATCAACAATAAAAAATTATATTGATTTTTGGTTAGTGCTAAGCCAGTAAAAAAGCATGTTTTATTGTGTTCTGGGAACATTACAATCCTTTGTTTTTGTTGCGGTCATATAAGACAGCAGAAAGTTATCAAAATCTAAAAAGAACAATGATTGATTAAAAAATTTTATCATATAAACAATGGTTTAGTTAATACCGAAAATCAACCATAGATCATTGTCAATGATTACATGATTAATATCTTGTTTACCGATCAAACGATTTTCAGATGATAATCAGGGGTCATGCAACTGATCTAAGATATTTTGGAATTTGTCCTTGTGAGTAATTTTTGTTTCATTTGCAACTGGTTCTGTATTTGTGTTTGTAGCTTCAGTGAAAATATCCTGAATGGAATTTCATTGGGTTGCGTTCTGATTGAATAAAGATTATGCTTACTCATTAATGTCAATCACTCCATCTGAAGCTACTTTAGGTTCCAAGTTCGGTTAAAAGGGGAGGATTGGGCGTAATGAATTCAGACATAATAGTAACTCCAAAGATTTCAATGTTCTCATTAGAAAGATTTGAGAGGAAAAACAAGTCCCAACAGACTATAAAAACGGATACCTCATAAGAGTACCAGAGAAATGAGATCTTTGTAGGTATAACAACTACTGACAGTACTAGACACATTTTCGAACAGTGTTACTGGACCGAGTGAAAGATTCAGTAGATGCTCGACTTCCAGATCAACAAGCTGGTTTTCGTGTGGATCAATTGTATACTGACCAAAATGCGACAATGACGATTGTTATGTAGCAGTCAATTGAATGGATCTCATTGCTATACATCTACTTCCTTCATTAATGGAAAGAATTCGACAGTGTGGATAGAAAAACCTTGTGTAATCTTCGTCAACACCACGAAGTACATAAGAACATCTTCTTTGAGATACGAGACTCCCTACGATGGACCGAACTGCAGAGCTGTGCGTAGACGGCAGCCCACAGATGCTTTCCGAGTGACCACTGGTGTCAGAAAAAGATGCTTACTCTTGCCATTTATCTTCCTTCTATTTTTTGACTGAAGTATGAAGATATCCACAATACAGAGTACAGTGAACATATTGAACGCAGCTGGACTTACCTTTAACACTTCATAGTGTAAAGCAGTCCATCTGCGACATGTCGCATACTACAACTTAAGAAACTCCTCTCTAGTAGTATGTCGAGTCGAAAAAGATTTGGGAGTCCTATTGCTCTACGATATAAAGTCGTACGCTAACTGTGACAAAAATGCCTTTCCAGCAAACCTTGTGCTGGTAACGTTGAAGTGCATTTTTGGCCAGTTTGACGGAAGAACTTTCCATATAATCTTCAACAGTTTTATTCGTCCCCATTTAGAGCATGGGAACTTAGTATTTCCTCCTCACTCCAAAAGGATAAGGACACTCTGGAGCGTATCCAGCGGCGAGCCACGAAATCAGTTCGAGGACTCAAATTCAAACCCTATGAAGAGCGCCCTCAATCACTTCAGCTTTACCCATTGGAGTATAGGCGTATTAGAGGTGACTTTCTGATGGCTTACAGTATCTTTAACACTTCTAGGCATCCCCTCAAACACCTACTTAAGCTAAGTCCCAATACAAAATTAAGTGGTAACACCCAGAAATTGGAGGTACAACATAGCAGAACAGACTGTAGACACAACTACTCCTTAAGAGTTGTCAAACGCTGAAATTCGCTGCCGACTGAACTAGTCCAAGCGACTTCCTAGGAGTCCTTTAAGAGGAAACTTGATCTATTCATAAGAACTAAGGATAAAATCTTATTATGAGTTACCAATTTATTTTTTTCTAATCTATTATAGTTAATATACCCATGTTCCTGCATGGAGGTATTGGTGATCCCCTGCTACTAGACACTGAAGTCTGTGAAGCGAGGGCTTCTTGTATTCCGTCCACAACCATTTGAACTTTGTGGATGACAGCACCGTTATCTGACCTGCAACCGACGAGTTCCCATTGGCTACTTATACGAATCCCCTCAGTCTCTAGATGCCCGACCTGCATATTCGAATCTCCGGCTAGTACCACAATATCTGTTGGACGCACTTTCCGGAGACCACTTAACTGGCGGTAGGACTCATCCTTGATAGAATCCAGGCAATCTGTTAGGGCATAGGTGGAGATCATGAAAAGTCATCGTTTCCCACACCGATTTCTTCTTAATTTGATGAGGCCTTCTTATTTAATAGTAAATAATCGACCGTTGATTGGGACCCCATAGATTAGTCCTGCTTATATTCTGGCGCATAGTGCGCTATAAAAACCGGACGAAGACGTCACATAGTACCTGGATAACCACACACGAAACAAGCTTTTGAAGCAACAGATGGAGAGCCAATTTACAGTTCTTCACTAGAGTCTTGAATGCAGATTTAGGATATACAACAGACGTCGATGTTGACATCTTCTGAAGACATAGCCAACCCTATCTGTTGTCCGATCTGGATTAGTGTGTGCTTGTTGAAGGAGGCTAGTTAGGGTGGCGTAGGTGGTTTCAGAAAGGCTGGTTCAGAACTTGTGTTCGGTGCCAGCACTCAACTTTTGACCAGTCAGTTACTTGAGATCGTTTAAATAGGACAGAAGTTCCACTATAGGTGAGCTGCTGTATGAGTTGAAGAATATGGGAATACACGAAGTGGGAATAAAAGAGAATAGATACGTGATGCAATGTAAAATACATGTGAATGTTACTAAATAGTTGTGAGAACGGGAATAGGAACGATAGTATTTTCTTCGACTGTAGTCACCATCAAACGTTTCGTAAACTGTGATACTTCCCGAGTGCCCGGACAGAATCAAAGAGTTGTCTTAGAAGGACACTCTTCAGGTTTTTGAGCTAGAGGTCTAATCCAAAAGGAAGAGCAGCAAGGTCAGGAGACACGATCCCATGGTACTTGGTGACTAAAAATAGATTCATATACCATTTGATCCCTCAATACCCTGGGGTCTATGTGCACTATTGACTTGAAACCAGGGTTTTCCAACACACATATATAGATCCTCCGTATTCGCCAACCCGGTTTAAGCAACAGACATTGGTTTTTCGTCCACCCACTACCACTAACAGCCGTCCTGCCGCGAAGATGCAGAAAGCGGTGTGCATTGAGACAGTCTTATAATATGCTTTATTATCTTATTCAGTCGACATAAATTTTTGATAAATGCTGAAGAACATGGAATGGTTTTATTGCTACTAGGGGACTTCGTGTTAAAACGAGGAGATAGAACACATTGAAAAATGAAAGTGGACGACTGAAGACTATGTATGTGTATTATGTAAATACTTCGTAACCTCTTAAATAAACATACTTTCTTTCTGTCCATTGCCTTTTCTAACACTACTGGTTTGTTAACCCCAGATTTAGCTATGAAACTAGTCGAAAGCAAATAACATCGTCTACTTGTTTCATATAGTCCTGAAACTCGACTACGTATACTCAAATAATAGGGAACTGTTTTCGCGATCAATTCATTCATAATCAATTAAAGTTTTATAGTGTTTTGATAAGTCTTTCAACTGATATGCATAAACTGTACTCTTAGCCATTTCCGATATCCCCAGCTACTAATACACATTATCTGGAGCGCTAGAGAGAATGTGCGAATGCGAGTAAAAGTTTAACTCCAAGGTTGGTTTATGTACTTAAGAACGACGGTATTTATATGTTAACACTACCTTGGGCTTCCGGAAATTTCTGTCACCAAACTATATATATAGTGGTGTGGGTAAATGCTGAATCAAATCTGTTGAACGTTACTTAGCATCTTCCAGATGTTTATGAAAAAATTCCATTTAACGCTGATTGGGTAAAATGTTTCCTATCGTTTCTGGGCCTCTAGGGACTTCGACGAGGAATATTTTGGGATTTCTTTAACAGTTTTAGACACCGTTCAAGAAGCTATTGAGATCGAATTAAACTGTTTGGATGCAGTCAGGTATCACTGAAGGCAATCTTAATGGAAATGTATAAAGTTGATTCCCCTCACAAAAGAAGATTAAGCCTGTAGGGTTGTGAACTTTAGTTCATGAGAATGCACACGCGAAGATTATAACTAATGCTCACATGCAATCCTTCTCTTATATTCTACAAGGTTAGTAACTAAGAAAGCTTGAAAAAAGAAATGCAAGGATTAATCAAAGTTAGTTGATCTATAAAGTAAAACAATATTTGCGAATTGATGCTGTTGGTAAGTCAAATGATGATATTAACATCCAGATGCCCATAATATAAACCAACTATTCATCGATCCAATCATTTTGAAATCAATTATTTCAGAGATATCACACATCATAGATAAAACTGATATAGACACCCCAAACTAAACCAATAAGTGAGTAAACTACATTAATTTAAACTAATGGATGAAGTTTAATTCATTCACGTAGACTTAGTTTGAATCATTTTTTTTGTCAATCAAGCAAACGATTAATCATACGAACTGTCAATAAGATAAGTTTTCAATGTACTACACTTTTTTGTATTACTCATTTTAAATTATATGGAAATATTAAAACAATTAATTATGAAATATAGTAGTAACTAGGATACTACTAAAAATCTATTACTTATACTTATATTTATATATTTGTATTAAAAATATGAATTTAATCTAATTAATTTTGTCTGATGAATTGTTCGCCCGCATGATATATAAACTAACGAAGAAGACATAAATCTGAATTGTTATTATCATATAGAACATAAATGCGGTTTAAAATGGTCAACAGTTTCTTAACTCACTTTAAACTGATTTTCTTTCTGCAACCAGCCTAATTTAGCTTTGTCAAATTCAAGTTGATTTTTGCATAACTGACTATGTAGACCTTGAACTTTATTTTGTTCCGATGATAGAGCATGCTTTAAATATTCAATGTGTGCTTTCTGCTGCAAATTGGAATCAATAGAAGATTATGGTAATCCAAAAGTGCTGATAGGTTTTGTATGGTTGTTTAACATAATAGTGAGACAACAGGAAAATCTCAATCACTGCACTGAAATCTAAAGACTAAGAACTTCTTAACCATATTAAAAATAACTAGCTATATCCTTAGGCTTCAAAATAATTTTCGAAACCCATCTCTACGTTATTAAGCTTCAAAATATATTTTCGAAGCGCATTCCTACATAAAACCTGAAGTTGTTGTTTACCACGCAAAAACCTAATTACGGAAAAATTTAGAATTTTGTTTCACAGAATCAAACATACTAATTGAAACATAAATAGCTGATATCAGAGTGATTAGAAAACAGCATACATTCACCTGTTCAATTAATGAAAAGTGCTTAAGGATATTTCAAATCATAATTTATTATTAGATAATTCTTAACAAAGGGTAAACGGTGAGGAAATTGTTGATGATGGTAGATTTCCGGAAATGACTTGGTTGAACTTATTTTGTAATTCAATTGTGGAACTTTGAATTTCTCATTTTCGCGCCAAAGGTATTCATTACCTTCCGTTTGTGTTTCCCACCCGGAAGGATCTTAAACGCCATTGGCTCGTTTTCTCTTTCAGTATGGTATTCCGTGACGCTTTTCAAAGACATTTCTGTATTGTATATATCATGCATGAGTTAAGTATTTGTTTTTTCACTTTTCCGAGCTGTTTGTCAAATGATTTATTTTCCCCACTGAGTTTCGTTATAGATGAAGACTGATTTCTCTTGAAGTGGTAAATGAAAAATGGGTTTTAATATGCTTACAGATTAGTTGATAATTAAATAAATAATGAGGACTGTAATTAGTATTTTCAGTTAAGTATTCAGCTCACTCATAATCATTGATGTTTGCTCAAAATCGTAGATTAATTTTGCTTGTGAATGATAATATCGGTCTTTCCGCATAACTAACGTCGGTGTTCTAGGTTATTGTGTACTAGTCAACAATTATATAGAAAGACAAGAAAAACATTGAAGACTATACGGCTGACTGCCATCAAAACAAGTGACAGTTTCTTGTAACAATTATGTGAGTACTGAAATATCACATGTTTGTAGTACTGATACATGTTAGAAATAATCTGATCTATAGTAAATCTCCATGTGATATAATGAACAGCACCAAAAGTAGTCAAACAGTTTAGAAGTATTGGATAAAGGCAGCTTGATTATTTGACAAGAAAATTATTCGAGTTAAGTATCTGAAGCGCAACGTCTACAGTGTCATTCATTTCAATAAATTCCTTTAAAAAGAAATTCATATTACAACTAGGAGATTACCAAACTTTCTCATGGTATTGAAATCCAGGAAACGTTAGCTAAATTTCACTAAAGAATCTGAAGTTGTACTACCCATTCAAGTTTAATCAGATCTTGTTTAGTTCTTGTGTTTTATACGTAACAACTAATAGACTGTGTTACCGACTATGAAAATCTGTCACTTTCGTGGTTACGTTTCAACGGGAACATCTGAAGTGCGCCTCGCAGTTTCGTTTTGGGTTAATAAAACAAAATTTTACATCAAGTAGGTTAAATATTTAATGATAATGATTTGAAATACTTACTTGAGCAATTAATTTACTGTTCTCATCGAGAACGAATGAGAAATCATCATTTTTAATTACGCTTAAAATATCACAATGAATTTCAACAGAATTTGTAGTTGGTTTGTCAATTGAGCACTGAATTGACTTAGAAGCTTTTGTAATTGGACTATTAAGTCTATTGACATCTTGAACTGAATCAGCTAAACGTTTGCCGACTGACAGTAAGAAAAGTAGGAATTAGAATTTCTGATAAAGGATATTTGTTAACATTAAAATAAGCATATTTCAAACAGACAAGATCTCAACCACACTTGTATTTCATCACTATCTCGCTGAAACATTCAAGGTAGACAGATAACCACTTAATGTTAGCCATAATTATGTACACTAGTTTACATATGCCGAAGCGCAGATATTGAAAGAACAGAAAGGAGAGTTAATGTTCTCATCTCTGACAACGGTCCTCGGAAAGGGAGAATAAAATATGAAGACAGATAGGTTGAACAGCGGTAAGACTAAGAGCAGCAAACCCCAGGTACGAGGGTAGTCGTACTGCCGACTGTACCTTCAAAAGAATCCCTCCACGGTGTAGGTTACCAAGAACTGATAACCGCCCTCATTCTTCTAACAGCATTCAAGACAACTGTATTCATAATCAACCTCTTCAATCCTTATCATTACTCCTACATCGAATTTCAAATCTAAACTTACTCTTTTGGCTTCCTCCTCAAGTGTCACCATAGCCAACGGTTCTAGTGCGCGAAACACTGTCCCAGGTCTACTGAAACCTCGCTCCAAACTACACATTCGAGCCTTCAACGTACCCACCCTATGTCAAATCGGTCAGCAGGCCTCCTTGACTAAAACCCTAGAATCTCGTACCACTAATGTATGCTGTGTCTCCGAAACACGCATACAGGATCCTAGTGTGGTCATTCACTTGATCTCACCTCGCCAAAACGGAAAGCCAACGAAACACACTATCCGTGTATCTGACGACTCCATGGTGGATTCTTGTAGACTGGCAGGTGTAGGCATATCACTAAGTATGAGGGCGGACCAAACAACATTAGAGTGTATGCCCGTTAACAGTTGTTTATGTGCCGTTCGGCTAAACGGCTCCGTAAGAACTCGGAAGGATGTGGACACACGTCGTTGCCTTTTCGTCGTTTCTGCCTACGCTCCCATTGACTGCAGCCCGGATAAACTAAAGGATGACTTTTACAGAAAGATCTCTAAACTGCTTCATAAAGCTAAACGATCAGACATAGTACTCATATTACTTATATTATCTTGGTCTTATTGAGTTGGTGTCTGGCGAAATCTCTTCACGGATTGAGAAAGCTCGCTTGGCTTTTGCCAACTTACGTCATCTGTGGCGAAGGCGAGATACCCGTCTATTAATGAAAGGACGAGTATACTGCTCAGTAGTTCGTTCTATTTTGCTTTGCGGCTACAAAACGTCGCCATAAAGGGTACTCGTTAGTTACGACTATTCGATCACAGATGTCTTAGAAATATTGCTCGCATCTGCTGGGAACACTGAGTAAGTAGTAGTGAGGTAAGACGCAAAGTATTAGGGAATGACGGTAAATCAGTTGATGAGGTTGTAAATCTTCATCTACTGAGGTGGTTGGGCCACGTGTTACGTATGCTTGAACACCGATTACCACGACACACAATGCTGACTAGTGTTAGGCATGGTTGGAAGAAAGTTAGAGGCGGCCAAACCAAAACGTGGATTCGTCCATAAAATCACTGATTTCTAGTCTTAGCCATGTTGGTAGATGCAGACTAATTGGTTTGGGTCCGCGTAGCTATCGTAATCAATGGTTGGAGATTCTTTGTGACATGGCTCAGAATCGATCACAACGGCGTAGGCTTATACACTCTTCGTCTTTCCTTAAACTGTGAGAATAAAATTATCTTATACCTTTCTTTCTACGAACTAATTCTTTCTTTCTGTACTATATCTTTACATGCAGTTCTTTAAGTATTGCCACCATTGAATTAACCCCTTCTATGAATTCGGTGTTCATCTTGTTGTGCTAATGAGGTGTGGCAACTTGGACCGATACATATATGTGCCTGGTCCTACGTTGTAGCTGACTGACTGACTGATTCTGTCACGTCCGTTCTTATCGCTCTATTCATATAAACCTATTCGTTTAGATCTAGGAGTTTTTTTTCAAACACCTGACAAGCTATTGTAGTAAAACATAATAACTGGCAGGATGTGTGCTAAAGTTATATACTACTAACTGGCAACGATTGGGAATTCCTGTCAATAGTATGTAGAAACAAAATCTTATGGATATTCGTAACGCTATTGTTAAATTAGTCTAGTTAAATTTTGTTACTTCCATAAAACACATTGGTAAACTTCTAGAAAACTGAAATAATCCTAATTAGTGTTATGAAATAAATGTAGTACTACAAGTGTAAAAATTGCTTAAACCTCGAGGCATTAGCATAAAAAATTTTAGTGTACGACTTACGAGTAGCAATCGAAAACCGAAGTTGACGTCTAAAATAACGCTGAAACTGATTTAACTATTTGTAATTAAATTGTTGGTTCTAATACTTGTTAAATTTATTCCGTGATTCTATAAAAAGTTTTCCATATTTTCAAAGGTTCACACCATTAAGGGCGTGAGTAAAAGGGCGACCATCAAAAAGGTTCATGTTAATGAAGTTGAGGATTGAAAGGGAATAAGATTATTCATGATGTAAAATATTTACTAGTTTAACTCTGCTGTGGAGGGCTTTCCGAAAACGAGTAATGTGGTGGAATGGTGGTATAGAGGCTTTAGCCAAGTTATTAGTACCGCTCATCCAAGTATATAGAAATTGATTAATGCTGTAAAAAGGGAATAGAGTCTAAATGGATTGAAAATCAAACAGTCTGTTGCAGGAATTCAGGAACAGGAAGTAAAGAGAAAGTATGGAGAGGTAGCAGTATGTATCAAACTGTTCGTAGAATATTACGTAAACAGATCGACACTAGACTATCTGAGTGGAATGGCACATAATGTGAATCTGCACATCTAAAATGGTAAACTGTGTTACGAAAATTTTATAATGTACGTAACATTTACAACTACACTAAACTGATGTTACTCCCTTTTAATGCTATCATTCGATGTATTATATTCAGTTAGTTAACTTATTGTCGGGATTATTTTATTGTCTTAATAAATCGCCCTCTTAGACTGATGAGTTATTAACATGCTGGGAAGTTGATGTCCGAATCTTGAATGTCTATGTCGCTTACGTTTTAATGGCTATTATCTCTCTTAGTTCGTCAATTCCAAGGATCAAAATAATATTGCGTAACGATCAAGAAGAAAAAATTAGAAAAAACCAAATATGTAGAAGATAATTGACCACTTAAAAACATGATGGTAGTAATAAAAAATGACTAGAAATTAAAACCATCAACAACCGATTGACCTCTTCAGCTAATTAGTATTAAACAGAACAGTTCATTAAGTTTCTCTGGAGAGCAGAAAGGACATTTCAATAATCACCTTTATCAATATACGCTTTTCTGTTAGTCGCCCTTATTAATGTACACTCTTTTGAATGGATACTACTTTTAAATCGGTTACTCTATAGTAAAAGATCTAAATTTCTGTTGAGAGCATAGCTTATGTCGGTAAGATGAGTCTATAATATAGGTACGTGTACATTAATATCCTTGAAAATAGAACATCTTAATACAGTCATTCATTTAACTCAACGTGAGTATAAGCTATGCAAAGTAACAACTCGATAGTACTTATCTCTGAAATAAGATGGAAGTCTAAACATGTTGCATTTAGCGTCAACATTAATTTGAAGATGAAATTTATTAAAGGCACTCATTAATTCCGAAATCTCGTGAGATATTTAGTGAAATGAACAGCCTTTCCAGAATGCTTAAATAGTTACTCAGTTCATTCAGATTTAGGCATTTGACTACAGTATTTTTTGCGCATATTTCACTTTAGATTAAAGCAATTACTTAGTTTATGAAGTCTAATCTCTTACAAAACCTCATGCTGAACATCATAATCACTTGTGATTCGTACAAAGCTTTTGAAATTTATTGATACTGGAATTTTATTCGATTCAATACCATGCTCTGCATTTATTGTAGGATCTAAAAAAATATTAGAAATATGTGCCCGGACAATGAATTTTTATGATTAAAACAAACTCATAAGAAAACAGATAGGGCACGAGTTTAAATGTTAAATTCAAAATAATACAAATCAGAAAGATGTGGTGTCAGTTTTACAATAGTTTAGAAAAATGGTATTTTATGGGTTTCTAATTACAAGTGTGCCCGGACATGGGTAGAACATTTATGAAGATAAGTTATATCCCATATTATTCATAAGATGGATTAGACTATGCTAAGTTAAGTTTGAGTCATTTGAAACAATAAGGTCATCTTGTATATTGGATTGAAACTGAAACGAAAAGACACAAGTGCTATCTTATCACGGAAAACACTTTTCAGAGAAAATATCAGTCTAGGAAAATTAAGAAGACAAGCTGAACTAACATATAAAGAAACACTTAGCACACATTGAGTTATATATGTATACATGCATGGTTATTACTACTTTAAGTACAATTTCAAAAATCTCATTAAAAAGTACAAACATCGATTGGAATCAACATAAAAATAGAATCCAATTTCAACTAACCATGTGATCATGAGTAATAGTATTATGAAATTTCAACATATTCATCAAACCAATTACCATATATAGACACATTTCACAATGTCCTATTATCTGTTGGAATGAATAATAAGTAGAATCCCCACACATTTCGGAAAAAGTTCACAATACACCTAGATATCATTGTAAAGGGAAGTGGTAGTTTTGGTAATTACAAAAACTGTAAGAAAATACAGTCACTGAGTGGTGATCAATGTCATGTATGTCAGGTCCTTCTTAATGCCGATCGAATCCAATCGACCAAGTTGCAATGTGGCCATTCGTCTAGGTGACTAGACATTGAGTGCACTATTTTGAGACAAGATGGTGGTTGGAGGTAGTGAACAAGAAACTCTGGACCTACGTTTTGTGCTACTTGGCACTCGTCAGCATGGTGTACCTGTAATCTTGAGACAACTGATCACCCCCGACGGATTCGAACCCGTGTCACCCGGCCTCACAATCAGAGACGTTACCACTGAGATATCCGGGCCGCGACCGACCTTCTGTAGGACTGAGATGTGTTTACAATTACAATAACAAAGTTAAATTGAAGATAACAGGATTTAGAACAAATGTTTCAATGCAGTGTCATATATATATATTCATTTGAGTTGAGATAAAATCCCATTGAATATTAAGGACCATGACGAATTTGCTTGTCTTGCGTCACGTACAGCACAATATTTCAAAGAATTATTTTCACTTACAGCGTCATCAAATTTTATCTACGTCTATAGGAATTCATTGTCACAGTTAACATGTACATCATGCATATTAAAAATAAATGGATTTGTCTTTAAAAAAACTCTACTTAACCGTTGAATTTTCATCCTTATATCTCAGTAACGCTTTTACTGCAACAATTTCGCCCTTTAAAAATATAGAATAACATAGACGAGTCACAGTACTCTGTGATAAACTTGCTTTGTTGAATCCCTTCATCGGTTTCTTTAGATGCAACATTGATTGGATTCGTTGGTTTTTGAATGAATGTTTGCTCTGGGATTTCAGCGGATATATGGTAATTAACGGATTGCTTTCCGTTTGTTGGCTGGCCGCTACCGTCTGTTAAAATATGTGAAAGTAGAGAAGATATATTTTCTTCTGTGCATTTTGTTGCCATATCTGGAGAACTCTTCGGCAGACGTTTTTCAGAATGTACCTGGCGATTTGTAGCTTTCTGTGGTGAATTTAAAAATGTGATAAACAAGTGAAGTTATTATATACATGAATTATTGTTGTTACAACACAAGTACTACAGGTTTAAGAACATATAACAAAGATTTTTGCAAAAACTTGTAGTGTTTGAGAAAAATGAAGATAAACGGTAGACTCCATTTGAGATATTCAACATAAACTCACACTGCCAGTAAACATGTTAGTTAATAATAATTAGTCTAGCTAATCATAAATATGCAACATATAATATTGCATTCAATTAACGCCTTAAACTGGTTAATGACAATTCATTTTCTAATTCTAACCGTAATTAAATCACACGAATTTTCATTTAGTGACAGTTATTCTAGCGTCTGCCTAACAGCACAATCGATATGAAATGAATGAAAGACTGTGGAACTTACAGGGATCCCATCGTTGTTACTCAAAACACCATGAAAGAAAACGCTAGACAGTCATCAGTCTATTTGTACAATACTCTTTTAAATCAAATAATTTAAACTCATTTAATTCTACATATTCAACCACTATCACTATCGCTAAATTGCACCAGATGCATAAACATGACTAACCTTTTTTACTGTTTTATTTTGCTGTTTCCGTGCTACTGTTCTATATGAATGTGCTTGTTGTTCTCTTTATAATCGACTACAATTTTGCCCTTTTGTGCTAATTGTAGTTAGTTACATTTTGGAAAAAAATTATAATTGTTGGTTACATACATAGTTACCTATTTTCACTATAGCCCTGATAAGACTCTTTATGCCACAGTAGAGAGAATTATTCAAGAAATTTATCTGTAAGAACCTAATTCAGAAAATGAGGAAGGCCTAACAATGACGGTAGAAAAGGCTGAAACAGAAGGAAACATGAGACATATATAGATGTTACCGCACCAACAGTCAAAGAAACCAACATGATCATCAGAAAGATCAAGAGTGAGAAGGCAGCAAGACCAGACAACGTACAAGCTGAAGAACCAAAGTCAGAAATACGAGTGACTGCAAAGATGCTCGACAACATTCGCTTTAGAAATGTTTGAGACAAAGAACAAGTACAAACAGACTGGAAAGAAAAACAATTCATCAAGATAGGCCTCTCTAGTTGCCAGACCTCATTGATTTCAAGTTAACATAGTATTTGTCTTTAATCTCGCGATACAGACAAAATCATGAGTGGTGCTTGATTCTAGGTGCCCCAAAATGGTCATCAACATGTTTCTCATCAACATTTAACGGTAATCCCAACAAAGCCCACTGATTTGGTATTAACTTGACATCTTTCTGTTCTAGTTGTAAGGCCATATTCGTGAAACCTTTCAAATACCAGGTCTACCTATTGGAGATGCTCTTTTATCCATCCATTCAGTTATACAGGTCTCAACGTTCGCATCACAATGAGCTTTGTATATGTGTTGTGACTTTAAGTTGAGGTTGCTTTTTTACCCTGTGCTAATTGTTGTGTCCTTGACTGAAAAACTAGAGAACAGCGTATTTATCGACCGATTCAATGACACGTGAACACGCACGAACGTAATGGACGACCTAGTGTTACGATTGGTCCCGCTTCCCTGTCTATCCCAGCCAGTTGAGTCCAGAACACAAATCTCAGCCTCTGAGTTATGAATCATTGTATTTCAGACATACTCTATTTATATACTAACCAAACATACCACATCGTACCATAAAAATAGAAAACAACATTTTGTACCATATTCAACAAGTGGACAGATATCGACCAGTAGGAAATGTCCATTTAAAGTCCAAGGAAACCATTGGACTTAACATGATAATTATTGGTCTATCCTTCGCATCCACAACAATATGTAAAGAAATCACTCGCGTATACATGCTAAGTGACAAAAATCGTTTGTTTCGTATTAGGTGTAACCCCACCCCACATAATAATGCTTGATGTTTATTCTTGGTTCAAGTGAGACTTTTATCACATTTCTGTCAACTTTGGCTCCGAAGTCATACTTTCTCATTGTGCAATTTTTTGGTTATACCCAGGCTCTGTTTTGATTAACTATTTCGATATGTATTAGAAGTATGCAATAGATACTTGACAATAAGTAAAGGGCTCCTAAAAACTCAGAAAAAATGGTCATCTAGAAAAGGCACAGATATCACCGATAACTTAGCTCCAAAATGAGCTAGTAATAAGAGTATGAAAACCTCCACATCTAAACAGAAGCGTTCGTCAATGTGGATAATACAACATTACAGAGGTGAAACTTGGAGGACTACCACAATAACCATCATAAAAGTACAGATTTTTAAAAACAACTGTCTACACAAGATACTCCAGATACACTGGCCAGATAGCATCAGCAACAACCTACTGTGGTAGAGAACAAACCAACCTTCAGATGGAAAGAGGGTAAGGAAAACGTATTGAGGGTGGATAGGTAACACTCTTCGGATATCATCGAGCCGCGTCACAAAGCAAACCCTAACATGGAATCCTCAAGGCAAAAGAAAGAGAGGCAGACCAAATAACGCATAGCTCAGAGAATCGGGAGCAGGCATCAAAAGAATGAATAGCACTGGAGAACAATTGGAAAGGAGAGCCCGGAACACAATAGTTAAAATAATCCTGGTCAGTGGCACACGCTACATGAGGAGTAACAAGCGTAAGTAAGTAATTTCTTTGTTTGAAGTTTGTAACATGCCAAATCTTCAAGTAACATTAAATCAGAACAAAAAGCCCGATTGTTATATGTATTTCATTATATACCGACTGGCAGGAAGGTAAATCAAACTCCATTCAGAATTATTTTCACAAAAATATCAAGGTGGCAGTATCTGAAAACTTGAAAAGCTTATATTTTAAATAGATTAGTAAATTATTATAGGTGTTTATGCGGGATAATATATGAATAGTGATTGATCCAACTAGTAATTTAAGACTGTCAGAAGAAATATTTTCATTCATATGTGCCAAAGTAAGATATAAGACATAAAGTTTTAAAGAGACAAAGCAGTTCATATCCACTGTGGGTTTAAAAATATGCATTCTTCATTTCAGGTTGTCATACAGGTCGCTACTTATACTCTACAACAAACAGAATAATATCCACAACGGATGAGTCAAACATGGTGAGTAGTCATTAAATATGAGGACATGAATTGCTGACCCAGAAGTATTACCATATGTGACATGGGTGTCTTCATCAAAAAATTTGAGATATGTAATTAATTTAAGATCGTATTATCGCAAACAGCATTCACTACTAGAAGCGGCCTAAATGAATCCACGTGAAAACGTTTTGATATTTAATTAGCTATCAATTTTTTCCAGAGATTCAGAGGATTTAGACTAAGCTCATAAATTTGGTTTAAAAACATAAGGACATTAAGCATTCGGAATCTAAATATACACGAAAAGGTTTATGAGTGAAAAGAGTCACCTCTTCATAAGCCATAAGATTGGCCTTTGTTTTCCGTTATTATCTCTTGATTAGTGTCTACAGTTTTTAAAGCATTACTGGCAATACCATCTACAACTATTCATAGGTATTTAAGTCGATTTAAATTTAGTTCTTTGTGAGGGTGATTTTGATTTTCTCTGTCATTTTAAAAAACATGTTTGACATAAAAAACACCATAAGATATCTCTCAAAGATAAATGATAGTTGGGTAGGGTCTAATTATTCTGTCCATGAAAAAACTGTGGGATTTCCTCGCTTAACGATTTGGATATTTTCGAAATCTTAACGTCTTTTTAAAAAGGTTGAAATTTTGAAATAACTATTAATCTCTAAGAAGGATCGAACCAAACAACACTTACATGGGTTTTCCTTGAGTCGTATTTCCTATAGTAAAAAGCTTCATATTTCAATGAACAAAACCTACTTTTGAACAGACAACGGTGAAATACTAGTTTTCGTATTTTTATGTGCTTTAAAAACGCAAGCTTCTGTAGATTTTCTTTTTTGATCACAATAATCTTTTTCAGGAAAGGCCTCTCTTTTTTCTTTCAGCATCATTTCAGCCATTATCTCTATTTCATACGGTTTTTGTAGCAAACTTACTCTCACAAAGCCCTATATTTTCTATCAAACCTCTTCTTTTGTTTAATGGATGCATCATACTTGACTGAGGATATTCAAAACATATGGATGAACAGGAGCAGGACGCTTTCTTCATTTCATCTTCCTCACCCATGCCTTGGAGACAATTGGTTCTTAAAAAGCTCAGAAGTATACTTGACCTAGAAAAAACTGAACAGGTTTCAAGGATCTATTACATTCATCGAGTAGTATAAACAAAATTGCAAACAAGAGATATCCAACATATATCCCATATTTTTTTGATGAGCTAGCATGAACCTCGTAGTTTCGTGGCTCTCGCTTGGTTATTTTATGGTGGAATGTCAATTCTTTCATATCATGTAGTTCACTGTAGTTATATCATACCCCCATGTATGTTATTATGTAAAACTTGAGCATCATATGTGATGGCTCGTTCGTTTTAGTGTGTCAAAACCATATCAGCGAATAAAAGATAAGATTTTTGGTCATTATTTTTGTAGAAGTTAATATATTCCATCTCTCTCAGGATTGCACTACAGTGAACTTGTCCAACGATGACATGTGTTATACTTGATCGGCAAAGCTGTAAATTGTATATACAGAGAACTTGAGGTTGGTATATGTCGGCCAACTTATCTTACGCAACTATTAAGTCACGCATCTGCACCAGATCACGAGTGGGTACACGGTTCTATGCATCTCGCACAATCGTTAGCCAAATTAGACCGAACGCTTCTCCAGATATCGATGCCTTCCAAATATATCTTGACAACTCTTCATTTCTGACTTCTGATTTGACTGGGTTGGCATACTTGGATCATTAAATTGTTCCTGGTAAAAGCATTGGTAAACTCGGAATATCCATGACGTCTTTACACTCATAGATTACGTTACGTAACCGTAGTAATTCGCATGTAAAATTTCGCCAATTAAATGGACTGAAAGAGCATTTGAGGAATTATATCAGCTGGATTTTCAATGTCGTTCTCTAAAAATTTATAACATAATCACTATTTACCAGTCATACGTAACTGTGCTACAGTACACTTGTCAGAAATTAGTTTAGTTCTTCCGACTTATCAGGCTACAAGTTGCGCATGCGGTAGATTATCGATAGGTTTTGTGAGGTTCATAAGCTATATTTTTTCAGTTAGCCTTATGTGACCTATATCTCAATATAAACAATCCTTTGAAAGTTGTCATTTATATCTAGTCTGTATTAAGACCAGACATGATAAATGTTTTCTGAATAACGCCACAACCTAATGATCATAAATGATTAAACTTAATGGCTTTCCCTTTTATTTATCTAAACCACAAGGCAGGTACGCGGATTTATAATTCCATTAGTTTAAATTTTAGTGTAAGGAGCTATTATGTAACCACCGCAAATAAGATGTTGTAGTCAAGGCAAGTCTAATGACCGTAATAAAAAATTAATGAGCCATGAGATCGTTAGCTTATACTTATTGTCAAATATTCTTCATCTAGATAGATTCTCATATCATGCATGAGATCCGGGGCTTGGTTGTTACAATCCACCATAGTTCAAGCGTATAAATAATAAGTGAACCACAATTACATCTAGAATACATTTAACTTTATAGACAATGAATATCATCCACAGTTCATCCGTCTTGATGTACAATATGTTTGATGGATCTCTTAATAATAATAAAGTGGGATTCGCTTGTTTTGAAGTGCACAATGAATTTACTACAAATTCAAACGGCCATTAATACAATGAACAACTGGTTTTGTTTCATATGAACCATGTTAGTTAAAAGTCGCAACTTAAGACAGCTGATATTGGCTGTGTTTGGTAAAAGTAGAAGAACGGAGACCGATATGTCATCCTATGCACAACAGGCAAAGGAATCTGTTTTGCTTTATAACCTGTACGCGTCCTATCAATTTTTTTCCGGTGAAGGGTAATGTAACGGAAGGAAAACAGTGAAAATCCGTCTCCAGCCTCTCTGTTTAACTGTATATTTATTTATTTGTTCCTTCTCCCTTTTTGTGTTTTCTAACCTTTGTTGCGATCTCGTTTAACCATATCTTTTGTTCTTTAGTCTTCTTCGTTTGAGCCATTATTATGTGTTTTTGATTAAAGACTTATCTTTTCTTTCCTAATTTTCTATTGCATGTTGCCGGACCATTGACTGTATGGTTGTGTTTGACTAAGCTCAAAGTCACGGTGTGTTTCAGTTGGTGACTGTTAACCATCTGACTGTCTACTTGGGAGGATTGCTGAAATCCGTGCAGATAGATATTTGATCCCATCTTGTTAGGAATATTTGTATTGATTCTCAGGTACCAAACCCTTTAGTATTAACTGTCTCTTTCATTGTTTAGAACGCTAATTTGCGTTAGTAGAACTTTTGACTGTATAGCGCAGGCTGTATCGTTTGAGGTATTTCGTATTTTTGATGTAATTTGTTCTGTTTTCTAAATTAGAACCGTTTATATTAAGCACATAATTTGTGTTTTGATATGATATAATACGAGTATCTCAAAAACGCATTGTGCACCTTACAGAGAACGTGGTCTGGTCTAATCGAATAGATTTTGGGTTAGTCGGTCCGTTGTTCCTTCCGAATGTTGATTGTTCGGTTGCTACAGTTCTCAAGCGAACAGTGATCTCAAGTGACAAATACTGGAATGCCTGGAAAGAGCAGCAAGATCAACGAAAACTTGGCATTGGGCCACGGAGAAATGCAATCGAATGCAGCAATCGAATACGGCAATTCAAATTAGATGCATTTTCATGTCATGGCTCTAATGTTAGTTTAGTAAGTAGACATAGCAAACAAATGCTCTAAGATAACCTTGGCAGAGTTAAAAGAAAGACAATTACAAGGAATGAGAGACTTTAAATGTAGACAGAGGAAACAACTACTGTGCTTTCAGTAAGTGTTAGGGTCGTTAAGGCTGAGCAAATGTATGTGTATTAATTTACCTTCTGCCTCTAACTGTAATTATAGAGAACAGGAGCACGTTCTTAGATTCGGAATCCCTTCTCATGACCTTACGATAGATTCTCCAGAAAGGTTAAAACTGCTAGATTATCCAGAAACGAAGAAGAAGGAAGTGACCTTGGAATCTCTTAGTGTAGGACTTGCACTTTCAAAGGTAGAGCTAAGTACCTTTGATGGGCAACCTGCTAAGTACTGGAAATTTATTAGACAATTTGATTTATATGTGGTTTCCAAGGTTGAAGACGATGGTCAACTGCTCTTGTACTTGTAAGATTATTGTAAAGGATAGGCTCGAGAGGCCACAGAGGAATGCATAATGCTTCCGCCATCGTCGGGTTATCGTGGAGCGTGCGATATACTGAGATAGTCGTTCGGTAGAACACACGACATAAGTCGTGCTTTAATGAAAGATTTAAATGAAGGCCCTGACATCGCGCATAATGAAGCAGAAAGTCTATCTAAACTAGCTATGGCCTTGGAACAAATGGGTTATTCAGCGGATCTCAACTTCGTGATAACAATAGAAAGTATAGTGAAAAATTTGCCCACGGTTATACAGATAAGATGGGCTAAAACAGAAGGAAAGATAACCGCAAATGGAAGAGAGCCTACTTTTGCTGAGTTAACAGAATTTGTATCATCTAGAGTGGGAATTTTGCTCGGCGAATTCGGACATATTGCAACTGCTAGTAAACGAGCTGTAAGCAAGGTGGCCTGTTTCACACAAAGTTTGTCATTCGGTAAAATCGTTATCAAGTCATCTTGTGTTATATGCAGAGAAACTTATAGCGTGGACAAATTTTTCCAGTTCTCAGCCTTAGCAGTCAACAAAAAGGTGGCGAAAACAAGAGAAAAACGTTTGTGCTTTTGTTGTCTTTAAAATGGGACACCACACACGATGTTTTCAATTTTCGTTTTGATCCTGAGGAAAAAACGTCGACTAGGAGAGAAATACTATCCACCATTTGGCTAATTCTTAGCCAATCAGCACTAGTCGATAGTTGGAGAATACTCTAGAATCTTCTCATGTAAAAAACTATAAATATACTGACGTTTTTTCCTATTGTGCTTCCTACTGGCTTCTTGCTTCCATCTAACCTTGTTATTTGGAATATAATCTCTTTCCCGTTCAACCGTGTTCTGATTTGGGGACCTGTCGAGTGAATTGGTGTCCGAGAATACTAAGCAATAGGAATAGCTGTGTCATAACCGTAAGAAAGAGATTATAACAGTGGTGACGGGGAAAAAGGAAAACAAATTCAAAATGCCCATATCAGATAACCAGCTTAACCTAATACTACAACAACAGCAAGCACAACTTGATGCACAAATGCGGTTGTTGGAGACTCTGACTCAACAGCTTATCATCCACTGCTCGAATTCACATGCTATTTCAAGTACGTTTTGTGATGCAGTTGCTAGCAGCATCCCAGAATTCATCTATGATCCCGAAAATGGAAATAATTTTCTCACGTGGTTCAAACGTTGGGAAGATACATTTAGAACAGAATTCTGTAACCAAGAAGATGCGTGGAAGACCCGATTGTTGGTACGTAAGTTGGGAAGCAATGAACATGCACGTTTTGCTGACCATATATTGCAAAAGTTATTATAATGTTTCTAATTATTTGAATTATAGCACTAACTAAGAGTCCAAGAAATAACGCAATTGAATTAAGAAGTCACAAGCACAAACGAATGTACTGTATTTGGAATTCGAAATTGTGCAATCAACATGTACAAAAGTATCATTAGTCAATTCAAACACCACATCCGCCACAGCTTAAATAGAAGTATAAGTGTTTACAATCGGTTGTATGTTTTCTTGTTAAGTTCATCCTGAGTCTGTCCGACATTGTACTGGATGAAAACTTTGTAGTATCTAGAATGTACTCATTAGTATGGGAATTAACAAACGAAATCGGAATAGAGTCACCTGGAATTGTAAACAACATATCGGTTTTGTACTGAAATGATTTATATCTCGAATTGGAACCATAGATTTTTCAACGCTATCCCCCACACGAAATAATGTTGGGTCTTTATATCCCCAAGTTATGAATAATGTGGCCTCATTTAAAACATATTTCTCACATTGATTAGAGTAAACATTAGAAGTGTTTTTGTGATAAGGATGAACAACAGTTGATAGGAA